CTCAGAACCACCAGGGGGCGCTCAGGACACCAGGAGGCTCTTAGAACCGCCAGGGGGCGCTCAGGACTATAAGGCAGTGCTCAGGACACCAGGGTTAGGTCAAGATAGCAGGGAACGCTCAGAACCACCAGGGGGCGCTCAGGACACTAGGGGGCGCTCAGGACTTAAGGGTTCTCTTGGGTGGCGGCTCCCTATCAAGTGCTTGGGGATGGTGTGTTTCATTTTTTAGGCCCTGTGATTTCTCACCTGGTGAAACAAAAGTCTTCCCAGGATCTCTTGCCATTTATTTCTTGGAATGCATGTTTCTCTCCTCTACAAAATCTTAACTTAGATCTATAATTCAATTCTTTATATTTTTGTAATAATACTACCAATAATATCTAAGTAAATTTTAAAATGAAGAAATTGTGTATGTTTACTTTAAACTATTTCCACAAACAGATTTCTGTTTTCTGCACTGTGTCAGTCACATAATTTTAAATACTTTTCTAATAATAACTCAGCATATGAATGTGCTGAGTTTATTTTCCTTTCATCTGCTGTTTATGGAGATGAAACATCACTTTAAGGGCTTCTGTCCTCCACTTTGGTGGTTCCTGGAGTTCTGACCCTCAGTCTGTTTCTCTACCTTCACTTCTTCTGTTCACACTTTTTCTATTCCTTGGTTTCTGCTCAAGGAATCGGCAAGTTCATTTACTTTGTCTCATCCATGTGTGGTGAATCAGTTCCCTTCCCTTCATGATCACTGAAATCAACCAAGTATGGGAAGGTAATAGTCCTTAGAATATGCTCATCTACCTACAGAATCCCTGCTCTCCTCACCCTTTTCTAGGGTCCTGTAGACATCACCCCATCCCATTCCCCCTTCTCTAAGTACCCCAGAGTGGGCTCTGCAGCTTCTGCTGCCCTCTGTGTGCTCAGCCATGGGGCTCACTACAGCTTTGATGATAAAGCCCAAATCCCTATTGTGTTTGCACACTTTCTGACCACCCTCTAGCAAGCTGCCATTGTGAGTGAATCCTGGGAATCCTGGGGTGACTTTAGTTCTATATTTGCGGATATTCTCTAGCATCCAGGAATATTGTAAAATAAGCAACATATAGAGTTTATGCTAAAAATTCATGTAAAACACTTGCAGAATAAAAAACATTTTTTAAATTGCAAAATGCTATCTTTTAAATTTAATACTTAATATTTTATTTTAATTTAATATTTAAATGTTATTTAAATTGGAAAAAGCTGACACATTTTTCAAAACACAATGTTATTTCAACACATTGTGTAATAAAATTTTAATAGAGATATTTACCTTATGATTAATACATTCCTTTATAATGTATATGCATTATTACATGCTTTTAAAAACTATGCTGCTAGCAAAAATGAGAAATAAGCCATAAGAGAATATATAAGGAATACCATTGTATAGTTCAATGATACATTTGCCAATAATGGCAGTTACAGTAAGTTTTACTAAAACATATATTTACATATATGTCATAATTTATATAGGAATATACAGACATTCATAGAAGAATATTATTTTGGACTAAAACCTCAAATATAAATACAAATAAATTTAAATCAATTAATTAATTAGAATAATACAGAAACAAAGATGTGTTGCTTTGATGTTCAGAAATGTGTTCACTTTTGCCTGTGCTCATATATGTTTCATTGCTGAGTGTGGGTGTTTTTTTGTGTGTGTGACCATAGTTTTAAAACAGATTATTAACTTATATAGTCATAGAAATCAAAGTTTGGGTTTTTTTCATGTTAAAAGTTAACAGAAAACTCAAAAATGAAAAAAAAAGTTATAGGCCAGGTGCAGTGGCTCACGTCTGTAATCTCACCACTTTTGGAGGCTGAAGTGAGTGCATCACCTGAGGTCAGGAGGTCAAGACCAGCCTGGCCAGCATGG